TACCTTTTAAAAGATTTGTCGTGAGGATAGACAGAGAATTTGTAAAATGAAATACTTTAGAATTATAATTTAATAAACAACTCTAGCAATTCCCCTGAAAATTTGCGTGTACGTCAACGATAACAATTTTGCAACTAATATGTTAAAATTACTTATTGGAACCATTGATATGTAAATCGTCCAAGATTCATAATCCATTACAACGGTGACACTAAATCTGTTTGAAAAAAAAATGAGAATAAAATACTATAAGCCTATATTTAGAAATTATATTTTTACGAAGCTACATTTAATATTTAGACTTTATATTTTTACAAAATTTTTTAGAATATTTATGTTAAATTAAAAATGTTATTGAATGGTAAAGACATTAGTGCAAAGTTTAATTTTATTTTAGTTCTCAGTTTGTCTGTATTTTTTAGGCGTTCTGAATGGTAATATAAGTTTTTTTTATGTACTGAATGGCAAACAAGCAATATACAATGTAATGTGTGTAGCAGCGTTCAACTTTAAACATCACCAAAGCCTAATTACGGGTCCTCTATTGACTTTCATGCTTGACAATTATTGGCAAAACTCCCCTTATGGGAAAGGCATATGTTTAGCATAGGAAAGTTGATGGTTGACGTGATGCTGACGATGATGTGTTTATAAAATATTTGTCATTTTGTGCAGCAAAGTCTAAGTACACTTTAGTGTTTGATTGTGTATCTAGAATGTTTTATATATCAATGTTAGTTAAGCAATGAATTGGTTAAACTTCCCAGAATCCATTAGATGTGACCTCAGTGAAAACCCTCGAGTGATGTAGGAGGTGGGTGTAATATAATTAATTTGTTTGGGATCGGTCGTGGTTACTTGGAATTGCGTAATAATTGCTCGAGTTTATGACAGAGATTCAGTGTTTTGTCAGTGCTTTATATTGGCCTACGAGTATCAGTGCTCGCCTGAAGTGTTTTCATTTATGATCGCTTCTGTAATAGACTTGGTAAAATTGTTACTTACTAGTTAGTGGAAATTTTCAAGGACTTTCAAAGGTATGTGGGAGATTTTGTACAAAATTCGTCGGATGGGTATCCAGCTTCCACTCTTGGTTCTGCCGGTTTGAAGGATGCTATCATCATCATTTCAGCCATTACCTGTCCACTGCTGGACATAGACTGTCATAAGGAACAATCCTGAGCCACCTGTATCCACTGACTCCCTGCAATGCATTTGAGGCACTGTGGTTGCCCGTATGGGGTCGCTACTTAAGAACCTTTCTTCTCCATCTTTTGTTGATTCCTCGAGCTATACCACTTTAACTTACTTATCCTGAAGGGTGCTATGTGGCAGTAAAATTAGAGGGAACGGAGGCGTAACGTAGTCCTCAGGAACGCATCAAGATTACCATAGCATTACCATTATACACAGTGTACCTACTGTATGATATCCATGGTGCTGCATGTTTATATGCGACCGCGGTGGTTTTCGTCAGTTGGGCCGTGATTTTGCCATTTTACGAGTATATCCTGTAAAAAATATGCATCAAGTGAGGGAAACAGCTAAAGAAAAGTTATGATCCTAAATTGATCCGACCGAGATTCGAACCACTTCGTCACGGTTCCGATTTAATAACCGCAGCAAAAGAGGGCGTTCTATTCTATTCTGTTGGAGTTTATATTAGAATTTCACAGTGAAGTATTCCAAAGCGATAGGATTACACGATATTTAGGAGCCGAGAATACGCCGATGCGATACGCTTGTTACGTAAAATGGAACGTGGCCTTCTCCGAGTGTGTGTACATTTGATTCACTGGATATTTCTGTCACTATCATTCGTTATGTGATGCAGAAATTGGTCCCGTGTAAGTTTCATATGTGTGAGATTCTCAATTCGGCTGATTTTTTTTTTAGTGGAGTTCGTCTCTATTCTCACATTCATCCTTATCTTCATGTCAGCCATCTACTGTCTACTGCTAGACACACACACATATACACATTAGATTTTAAATATTTGAATTTAGAATGCAAGTTTCATATATCTGTAATGGAGTTTACTTCGTAAAAAGACTTGGCGTCAATCATGACTAAGTTAATATGGGACTAATATAGGAGTATACATTATAGATTGTAAAAAGCCGTATCAAAATCGGTATATATATTAATACACAAAAAAGAAAAACAGACAAATTAAGAACAGCCATTTTACAAACAAAAGTGACCATTGTAATTAATTTACATATTTACGTCCGTTTAATTTTTCTGTCCATCTCGTGAGATTCTGCCGTGAAGATATAAAATAATGTATGCATTATTAATATGCTAGTTACGCTATGCTAGTTAGTATGAAGTATTCCTATCATTATGATGTATCCGTATGCCTAGCAATACAAGCAACAAACTTAGTTTTTGCTGCAATCTTCGTTTAGCGCTGATTTTCAGTTTGCACTTTGCTATTACTAACCTACTAAATCCCATGACGAGCTGTCACAGCGCTAAGCAGTAACAAATAAACTCACATTAATTTTTTTGTGCAACTTAGTATGTCAAAAAAGCTGACGGCCCACCTGATGGAAAGTGGTAACCATCGCCTATAGACATGAGCACAACAGAGTATACTGTTTCGTCCATGATACCCCCCATGCGTTGCTATTTCTGAGGACTCTGGTATAATTTCTCTGTACCCTGTAAGTTTACTGCCATATGCCATCCTTCAAGCCGAAACACAGCCATGCAAACACAATTGCTTCACGGTAGAAACAAGAGTGGAACAGAGGTGCTTGGACAAAAGTCGTTAGCTTGGGCTAACGACTTTTGTACAGACTTTTGTACCAGAGGGAGATCTCTGGTAATCTTAATATTAGTAAGAAATAATTAAGAATAATGACCCCCCAGTGTACCCAGTGATGTAATATAAAGGCACGTGTATTTTGAACGTGAACCATGTGTTCATCATTCATTAAGAAAATACGCTGCATCGAAAGCGCAATTGCGTTTTACAATTTCCTTCAAATGTTTTGAGCAATGCTTCCTCTGTTTGACCTTTGAAAGTATACACTATCATCTATATAAAGAACATTCGATACAGAATCTACGTGCATTCTGTATCTGCCTACGCGTTAGGGGCTTGTTACACGGTCAAATAAGATGTTCAGAAAATCCTTCGCCGCCTTATACGAAATGACGATTTTTTAAAGAGCATCATCATCATCATTTCAGCCATTATCCGTCCACTGCTGGACATAAGCCTCCCCCATAGACTGCCATACAGATCGGTCCTGAGCAACCTGCATTCACTGACTCCTTGCAATGCATTTCAGGTCGTCACTCCATCTAGTGTAGGAGGGTTTCAGGTCGTCCTAGACTTTAAAAAGCATACTAGAAGAAAAAAATTTGGGCAAAAAAGGAAAGGGAAGACCGAGGAATGGGACAGATAAAGGAAACACTAGGTGTCATGTCAAAGATATGGCCTGTGGAATAGAGCTGGCTGGAAGAGAATGCATGAATTAGTTGCACCGACACGAGGAAACTGTTAAATGAAAAAAAAAATTAATTTATAATAATATAGTTGATAGCTGATAAAAAGTTGACCGCTTTTTGAGGCTCGATACTTTATCTATATAATCTAAGGTTTTACTAAAGTGACAGTATAACAAATCCTAAAGGATACTTTGTACGGTGTACGAGTACTTTTGGAAGATCGTAAAAGCATTCGGCCATTGATTCCGCAATGTTATTTTCCATCATGTTTAGTTTGGTTCGAAATAGTTTTTAAAACATTTATAATAAAGTTTACGTTGATATATAACCTGCAACATCCGAGATTTATACCGTGACGTCAATTTACGACGGCCGCTTGTAACTCTTAAAACAAGCAATGTGTTGTTGAACGGGATTTTATTTCGGAAGAATTGACTAGCTTTTGCCGGTGAATGAGTTTTATGGTGCATTTTTATGAGCAGTTTTATCAGATAAATTGATTTTGTGCGAAAGTCGTCTGCTTGGATACTGACTCTTGTTTCTGCCTCGAAGCACCTGTCCGTGCATGGTTGTTTAATTTTTTTTTAAATGGAAGATATTTTTTTAATGGGTGACAATGGAATGGTAACCCCATCCGCGCTATTGGTATACACCGACGGGGCACCAGTGAAGGATGATAAGTGAGGATGAAGCAAGTCAGTTAGCCCATTGTGACGAATTCAACAAGAATTGTTCACGATGGTTTCCAGGGGGAACCACGTGGAGGTCCACCTAATAGGGCATATTGCTAACAATAAGATTTTTAAACTCCATTGCCAACAATCCCTTTCCCCTAATGGAAGATATTGGAATGGTAGGTCCCACTTGCGCTAATAGTATACGCTGGTGAGGCGGAAGTGAGGGGTGAAAGGTGAGAATGAAAAGGCAGGTCAGATAGCCCAACGTGTTGAATTTACTTGGAAACTGGCAACGGTGGTTTTCAGGGTGAACCGTGAGAAGGTCGATCAGACAGGGTATATTGTTAGCAGTCGAGCCCTATTACTAACAACCCCTGGTTGTTTTAATTAGAAGGGCGAGATATGGTAGTGAAGTGATAAAGTAAGGAGGTGTAAAATCTTAAGGTTTCGAAATGGCAACGGATGAGGTGACCATAGCTATCACCATAGACGATGCAGGATATAGTGTCGACATCTAGTGTCAAGAGTTTTGAGGACGCCTATGTTATACATGAGATTTTTCCGAAGCAAGTGACAATAATTTTTTAATTGTTTTAAAAGTAAAAGCAAAATTTTGGGCTGGGATTCAATCTTGGAATTCTCGGATCGCAGTGAAGCATGCGACTGGGCTTCCACTGTTCGTCTTCGTTATTTCGTATTTTCATTTAAAACTTTAAAGATACTAGTATAATTTCTTTTAGATTTTCGATATGTCAATTTAATTAATTGGACGTATCGAAATTCTAAAAGACTTCGATTAGAAGCCCTTATTGTAATAATCGTTAAATTTTTTGTCGTTTTCATTTTCTTATTTGCCTACAGTGATCTGGAGCCGTGTGCAGCAACCGCGCCCTCTGGCAGCAGTAGCAGTTCTAGCTTGTCGTCCCGTAGCAATGAGAGCAACACTGTCGCAGCCGAGCAGCAAGGTAAGAGATTAATTAAACCATTGGACCTTCGTAAGTTCTCGTTAGAGGTAAAAAAGTTATGGATATTACCCGATATATCAACAAACTGAAGGGACAATGAGTTTGTCGCATAACTCAAAGACTTGGGACAAAAAGGTATTAAAGTGACGACTCTGTATTGTGTAATTCTGTGTAAGCTTATCCTGTTCCTCCAACGAAATGTGGCGACGATCTAAAATGCCAGGGAGCCAATGGATGCAGTAAACTCAGAACCGTTCATTTTGGGGAGTCAAGTGAACAGTGAATTGCTAAAATGATGATTGTGATGATTTTGATCATGATAACGTTTATTGAAATTAAAACATTATTAATGAACAATAAGTATGTATTCAATAATTAGTGTTAAAGCGATAAACTATTAAAATAATTTATTACTTTATTTCTGTCACATCCGTTATACGGTTACAAACCATACAACGTTTCGGTCCTTCGAGCCGGATTGAACCTATGAATTGTTTAATGGCTGAAAATGGTATTGTAATTCCGCTTGCGCTATCGGTATACATTGGCATGCCACCAGTGAGAGATGATACGTGTAGATGCAATTCAAGTCAATTGGCCTACTATGACGAATTCGACAAGAATTAACCACGATGGTATCCCGGGAAGCCTCGTGGGGGTCGACGTGATAAGGTATATTGCTAGCAATGGGGCTGTAAGATCCCATTACTAACAGTATCTTTTCCCCACCTATGGATTTAGTTAACAATAAAACATTACATCCTTCCACAGCCTCCCAGTCCGATTGGTCGGAGGAGGACGAGCCGCTGGCTGCCCAGTGGGCGGACAGCTTACCCCCACACGTCCTCGAATCGCTGAAACTGTCCCCTGCGATGAGAAAGCGGCAGGAGGTCATACATGGTGAGCAAGATTTGACTTTTAAAAAAAAATACACTTTGAAATTCAAGTTTTTAAAATCTACTGCAGGTTTAAGAACATTGTTATGTGAAGAGCTCGCAAGAAACTCAATAGTTACTCTTTTAAATCTCTGTTAATATTATGTATATTTATTTAGATCTACAATGTCTAATAATCGACTAACACCAAGTACATTTGTCATTCAAATAATCGTTTAACGTATTTATTACGCTTTGTTCAACAAGTGTTTTTATCCTTGGTGCTGTTCATGTCTATAGGAGGCGACAGTTACCATATCCCATCAGGTGGGCTGTCAGCTTGTGTTATTCATTGATGACAAAATACAAACGAAAAATAATATAAAACAACAACAAAGTATCTAAAATTAATAAATTTTACCACAGTAACTGGCTGTGTGATATAATTCTTTTACTTAACTATTGACAAGTACATTTTGCTAGGTTAAAAAAAACTATGATTAAATATAGTGATAATGATTCGTAGATACTTTAGAATCTACGTGTATCTATAAATAATAAAAAACTAGGTTTAATTAAGACAGGTTCTAATTTAATACTGTCTGTTATTATTACTTGATTATAGAATTAAGAAAATTTAATGTCAAAGGCAAAGTCGTTATCTTGACATTAAAAATATTTTTTAATATCAATTACTAGAATATATTATTGCTTATATATATATATCTTTTTAATTTAATATCGTCTATTTTATTATGTTGTACCGTTAATTATATTTTCTCTTATTGCTGTCTACGGTCGACTGGTAGATAATGTCATATGGTGTTAAGTCCGCCACTTACACTATCTAGGTGTATTAAAGTAAAATAAATACGGCTACGGTAACCGCTTACCATCAGGTGGGCCGTATGCTTGTTTGCCACCTCAGTAGTTTAAAAAAAATATATTACAGTATATAAAAAAGAAATTGTTAATTTTGGAAAATTGTAAATTTGTTTTAGAGACGAAATGATTCTTATTATTCAGTCATTACAAAAACAAAAACATACACAGTCAAACTCCATTATCTATGGTTTTCTCAAATCGTTTGCTATGAACTCTAGTGGTAGTGACGTCCGGTTCCCATATTTAGTGCCATGAACCATTTTAACATTCTGCCAATTATGGAATTCGCGCGTCATTTAAATATTGGTATCGCTGATGTTTCAATTCGAATTTGATTCGTATGCAAATAGATATGTATGTTGGGTAGATAAATAAGGTTTCACATTAGTCCTTAGTGATGATAATGCAACAGGGATGGGCAGCAGCGTTACTCTTAAAACATGGCCAAAATATTAAATGTGGTTGTCAACTCGTCTGCTGCTAACCGTGGCAACTACTGATAAGCGCCCCTTCTGGTGGAGGCCTATGTTCAACAGTGGACAGTTAACGGCTGATATGATGATGATGATGATGATAATGCATGAAGTGAACAATGGACATTACACGCGATGTTTTTGTTTGTGGTGCAATAAAGAGTTAAATCTATACATATAAATAAAATTAGAGTGTCTGTTTGTAATATTGAAATAATCGTTTTTTTACTACACGTATATGAATATAGATACGGTACATACATAATTTTTTTTACAATTTTTGTTTGTCTGTTTGTTCCGGCTAATTCCTGAAATGGCTAGATTGATTTTGACGGGACTCTCATTGGCAGGTAGCTGATGTAATAAAGAGTACCTTAGGCTACGTTTATTTTAGAAAAAATATTTTATTTTAGAAAAATAATGTTGCAATGTCCAAGTACTGTCCAGTACCGCGCGCAGCTCACGCGCATGCCACCACTGGGCCAGTAAAATGAAATGAAATAGGTATTATAATAAAAAAATAAACTAAAAAATTAAAGAATCAACTGTTAGAAGGAACAAAGTTCGCCGGGTCAGCTAGTAAATAAATGAAATAAATGCTGAGTTAGATCGTTTTCACAAACACCGCTGCATTCATTTTGTTTTTTTTTTTTATATGTTTTTCTTTTTATTCTAATGTCAAAGTAAAATAGTAATGTTATTATATAATCGTGTAGTCTTCATTATTATGTTGTTTTGTTATATGTCACATGTATAATTTATATTATATTTCTTAAACAGAGATTGTATCTAATTAACGATGTTATTTAAGTGAAATGTTTGTTTGGTGTACGTATATAAGAAATAAATGAATGAATGTGTCGCGGCAGAGCTGATAGTGTCGGAGGGGTCGCACGTGCGCTGGCTGAAGGTGCTGGGCGGCGTGTTCCTGCGGCCGCTGGAGGCGCAGCCGGCGCTGCTGGCGGCGGACGAGCTGCGCGCGCTGTTCCCCAACCTGCCCGGCGTGCGCGAGCGCCACGCGCGCCTCTACGCCGACCTGCGCGCGCTGCGGGCCGACGCGCCGCACCACCTCGTGCCCATCCGCCCGCTCGCCGACGCCATGCTCAACACAGTCAGTTATACTACAATTATTACTAAAGCCACCTGCTATTATTTTGACACTTGTCTAATTACCTTAAGAAATGTAGGCATGCAAATATTTTACATTTTATAAAAAAAAAAAGCGAAAGCGTTTGTAGCGACTACTCAAACTGATTACACCCCATCTGAGCAGTAAGCACCAGAGGGAGATTTTGTACAAAAGTCGATTGCTTGGGTACCTCTGTCCCATTCGTGTTTCACCCGTGAAGCAGTTGTGTTTGCATGGCTGTGTTTCGGTTTGAAGGGTGGGATATGGCGTGAATTTACTGGGTACAAAGGAATAACACCTGAGTCCTCAGGAATGGCAACGCATGGGGAGGTATCATGGGCGAAACAGTATACTCTGTTATGTCCATGGTACTGCTCATGTCTATAGGCGACGGTTACCACTTTCCATCAGGTGGGCCGTTAGCTTGTTTGTTATTCTAAGTTGTATAAAAAAAAGAGCAAAATGTATTACGCTTGTATGGAGACGCTTTTAAGCATTCTGTAGGATAACAAAGTGGTCGTGCACCGTCGTTCCAAGTCAATAATCAAACCCGGGATCACAGGGGGGAAAGGGATTGTTAGTAATGGGTTCCAACAGCCCCATTGCTAGCAATATAGGGTCTAGCTGACCCATTGCTGGCAATACAGCCTATCAGGTCGATCTCCACGCGGTTCCCCCTGGAAACCATCGTGGTTTCATTCTTGGCGAATTCTTCACGATGGGTCAACTGACCTGCCTTCATCCTCACTTATCATCCCTCACTGGTGGCCCCGCCAGCGTATATCGATAGCGTAGGCGGGGTAACCGTTCCATTTTCACCCAATTAAGAACCCAGCATCACCAGAATGGAATATGTTAATCACTGATCTACGGGGGTTGTCTTTGTACATAAAATGTTACTAATTGCTCTTCTATTGCAGTTGTTTAATTGTTTTATACGAGGTTTGTCCGGAAAGTACGTATAAAAGTTTTTTAAAAATTTTATTTTACAATTATTCAGGTAAATCAATTTTATCCCCTTCAAAGTACTCCCCCTGTGACATAATGCACTTGTGCCAACGCCGTTTCCACTGTGAGAAGGCTCCTTGAAAGTCCTCTGGTTGTAGGTTTCTCAGCTGCCCCGTCGTAGCTTTTTTTATCTCATTTATGTCCCCCAAATGCCGCCCCCGAAGTACCAATTTGGTTTTTGGGAACAAGAAGAAGTCACACGGGGCCAAATCCGGCGAATAGGGGGGTGTTCGGTCACCGTAATGGAATTTTTACTCAAAAACTCACGGACAACAAGAGAGGTGTGGGCAGGGGCATTGTCGTGGTGAAGAATCCAACGCCCCTCTCGCGCCAATTCTGGACGAACTCGTGCCACACGAGCTTTGAGGCGTCTGAGCACATCGACGTAGAATTTTCCATCAACTGTCTGGCCTGGAGGGACGAATTCTTGATGGACAATCCCCCGAACATCGAAAAAAACAATCAACATTGTCTTGACATTTGAGCGGGATTTTCTTGATTTTTTTGTTCGTGGTTCCCCGGATGTCTTATCGAATTAGATCGGCAAAAATTTCACGGCCATTCTTGCCGAGTTTCGAGAGAAACTTGATTACGACGCGCTGCTCTTCAACGGAAGCGGGCTCCATGCCGACGGGGTTTCGTTAAGAGGTAACTTCACAGATGGCGTGACAAGCCAGTTCGCACCGCACGGCGGTCAGACCAGAACTGAAGCATTGTTAGGGACATAAGGAAGGGGTCCTGCGCTTACCTGGCCTCCCCACTCCTCTTTCTCGCATTCCAGAACACTTTTATACGAACTTTCCGGACAGACCTCGTATAGTAATATGTATTTATTAATGTATGTATGTATTTATTGTATGTATTTATTTATTTATTTAATATATTATGTGTATGTTTATATTATATGAATTTATCAAGTATTGCTTTATTTTTTTGTCTCTATTCAAAAATGCATCGCCTACGAATTTTCGGTTTGTCCAATGGTAGAGAACATCGTCCGGTGTTAAGTCCACCAAATGTACATAGAATTTTACTGTGCTTTAAAGTTTAAATAAATAAAGTTTCTTAAAAATATTTTTCTTTTCTCTTTCCAGCTGGGTGAGTCGGGTTACTCCGCGTGCCTGGCGCGATTCTGTCGCGGGCAGCGCCTAGCGTTGGAGTCGCTCCGTGAACGCCGGAGGAAGAACAAGGAGCTACATCAGTTCCTATCCAACCGCGAACAGTTACCACTGTGCGGTAGACTGCAATTGAGAGATTTGCTCGCTTGCGTTTGGCAGAGGTAAGATATTGTTTATGCACAGCGAATATACGCTCTGACGTATAGACGGTTGCAGTTTTGGAGATGCCACTCAATAGTTTGAATGATGACATAGCTACTTGTAAATATATAACGACAGAAATTTTCACATATTTTTCACCACATCTGTCCATCATACGCTTTCTGTTTTTACCTAATGGATAGCTGGTAGAGAATGCCATATGGCATTAAGCTCGCTATTTGAACACACTTTTATTGTGCAATAAAGAATAAATAAATAAATAAATACGAATATAGCTAAGTAGGAAATATACCTATCCAATAGGGTCATCCGGCTCGAAGGACCATTTCCGATAAATACATTCTGAAACTGTTTTTATATGTTATATCTTATTTTACTTAACAAGGTGAAATCGAAATAATTATCATCATATTAAGGTCGTGTTTCACTACTGAATAAGTCGAAAAATACACAGAATTTTGGATTACTATACTAGAAATCCGCATACATCTGTAAAAATTACGGTAGAATATATTGTTAAATTGAGGATTTTAATTTTTTTTTTTTTAAATTGTCAATTCGTATAATTGTAACAACTATTTCAATAAATTTAATGACATCTAGTGAATATTGAATCTGATCTTACCTTTACTAATTCATTGTTTCTTTTCAGGTTAACAAAATATCAGTTACTCCTGGAGGGAGTGTTGAAGACAGTGGGCGAGAGTGACGATGACAACGAAGAAGACATTGCGCGCCTCCGACGTGCATTAGACACAGCCAAAGACGTGTTGCATACTGTTGATACGGCGATACACACAGCGGAAAATGAACATAGGTAAGTGACGAGAACAATCGTAGATGTTATGAGAATGGTTGTAAATATGACGAGAATAGTAGCAGACGTTACGAGAATAATTGTAAATGTGACGAGAATGGTTGCAGATTGACGAGAATTATTAGAGACTTTATGAGAATGATTGCAGATGTGATGAAAATGGTTGGAAATATGATGAGAATTATTGTAGAGGTTACGAGAATAGCGAATAAGTAAAAGTAGTTTAGTTGTCGTAGAATTGCAAATAGATATGATGGTATATTTTTTATTGCACTCAGAAGTACAGTAACAGTTACAAATATCAGAAATAAAGTGAGCAAAGGTGACTTGCTACGTGGTCTCGGTATAAAATGAGTCGCCCTTTCGTTTTCCGTGGGATCGTAAGAGGCGACTAAGGGAACTTAATGGTTAAGGGATGAGCAGCAGCGTCTCTTTTGAAATGTCACTAAAACCTAACTGTGGTTGTGAATTTATTTGTCAAGCGTGTCTGTCAACTAAGGCAAAGTGTCCCCAATAGGGGAAGGCCTATGTTCACTTTTGATGTGTAATGTCCGCGTGTCCGCGTGTCCGCGTGTCCGCGCGTGGGCAGGCTGCGCAGCATCCAGAGCAAGCTGGAGGTGCGCGCGCCGGCCGGCGCCGAGTGGGACGAGCTGCGCCGCCTCGAGCTGGCCGCGCGCCGCCTGCGGCTCGAGGGCGAGCTGGCCATCCGCAGCGACACCAACAAGAAGATCGCCGTGCTCGTACGTACCCGCCGGCCCGCCGGCCCGACACACTGCCTGCACGCCACACCGCACCGCACCACACCACACCACACCACACCACACCACACCACACCACACCACACCACCCGGGGGAAAGGAATTGTTAGTAATGAGGTCTAATTGCCCCATCGCTAGCAATATACCCTCTTAGGACGACCTGCATACGGTTCCCCCTGAAAACCATCATGGTTAATTCTTATCTAATTCATCATGGTGGACCAACTGACCTGCAGTCATTTTCACCTATCATCTTACACTGGTGCCTCGCCGATGTATACCGATAGCATGGGCGGGGTTTACCATTCCATTTTCACCCATTTAAAAAAACCACCTCACCTCTCAGAAAATTAATGTAATCTATTTTCTGCTACTCCTTTCTTCATCTTTAAAGCAAACTAAAAAAAGGGGATGAATGAAAGTGGGTACTATATTAGAACACATAATATGATATGGCTACGCTTGTTTATATTTTTAATAAAATATTGTTAAAATACGAACACCATATATATCGATGTAGTAATTAAATAAAACAAAACTGGTAACGAAAAGGTCAAAATCACATTTAGTGGTGGATCTTAGTAAAGGTCTATGTCCAGCAGTGGACTGTAGTAGGCTGATGATGACGATATGTCGATGTGGAAAATCAGCATTAATCCATAAAAAGTTTTTTTTTTATACAACTTAGAATGACAAACAAGCTGACGGTCCACCTGATGGAAAGTGTATGATCCACCTGATGATAACTGTCGCCTATAGACATGAGCAGTACCAAAAACATAACAGAATATACTGTTTCGCCCACGATACCCCCCGTGCGTTGCCATTCCTGATGGCTCAAGTGTTATTCCTCTGTATCCTGTAAATTCAATGCCATATCCTACCCATCGAACCGAAATACAGCCATGCAAACACAACTGCTTCACGGTAGAAACACGAATAGGACAAAGGTGCCCAAGCAAACGACTCTTGTACAAACTTGTACAAAGTCTCCCTCTGGTAAAATTGATTGTGGTATTATCCTTGCATTTCGTTACTGATGATGTCCGCTGTCACCCCAGGCTCTGATGCTGGAGGACAGCTTGGTGTTGCTGCAGCGGGAGGGCGACAAGTTCGTCCTCAAGCCGATACAAGTGCGAGCCGACCCGAGCCAGCCGGGGTTGCTGTCACCGCTCATCAAATGGTAATTAATTAAAGATTGTCTCCCGCACACAAGTCAAAAACCGATATCTATCTACGAGTATCTATATAATAAAATTTGAATTCTGTTCTAACAGGGACAAAGTTCTATTCCGGCCGAACGCCGCGGTCCGCAATACATTCTTCCTGATGAATATCAACGGGGTGCAGATGCACGAGCTCTCCGCCAACAATCTCACGGACTACGCCACGTGAGTTGATTTTTTTTTTAAATTTTTTATACAACTTAGAATGGCAAAAAAGCTGACGGCCCACCTGATGGAAAGTGGTAACCGTCGCCTATAAACATGAGCAGTGTCATGGACATAACAGAGTATACTGTTTCGCCCATGATACCCCCCATGCGTTGCCATCCCTGAAGACTCAGGTGTGTATATAAAAAAAAAAGATTTCAAAGATGATTTTTTTAACCAATAATATTTCAGATTGTTCTCAAACTAATGTGTTAAATGGTTTTATATATGTATAGTTATAATCATATTTGTGTTACAGGTGGGTGAAGCACATCCAAGAATCACCGCTGGCTAAATTGGCCGAGACGAAACCTAACATAACGCCGTCGCACCAGGCGAGTCGCTCCAACGACGATTCAGGTATTTTTATTATTAAATGTTTCATAAACGCACATTATTTATTATTATTTATTTTCAAACCGAAACACAGCCATGCAAACACAGCTGCTTTACGGTAGAAACACGAATGGGACAGAGGTACCCAAGCAATTGACTTTTGTACAAAGTCTCCCTCCCAAATTTATAAACGATTAATGGAATTTAATAGAAAAATACAATCAACAAATAAATAGAAAATACAATCAGACGAATTATATATACTACACTAAAGGAAAAAATTAAGGGATAAAAAAAATGCCAAATTTTTTGAGGTTTTGCAAGTAGCTTTATTTCCCTTGAAAATGGTCTTCCCTTGAAAACAACTGCTTTACGGATTTGGTTTTTATCGTTATGATGTCACAATTTTTTTATTGAATAAATAAAATATATTTTAAAATCCATACACACTTATAAATCATCATCTTCCTACCCTTTTCCCAATTATTATTTGGAGTCAGCGTAATATGTTTTTTTATCCATATTGCAAAAAGATTTGGCTTTTAACTTTACGACCGGCCGCCTGCCTGACGTCAACCTTCTTTGGGAATCCATTTTTTGGTGGTTTCCATCACCTACGGTATGGAGGGACGGATTCAGGGGAAAATGAAGGGAACGTTGGGAACGCGTAAAGAAAATTGGGAAATAAGAGGAATTAGGGACTTATTTGGGAAAGGAAAGGGGGGGGGGACACGACAGTTGGGAAAAGGACAGCAGCGGCTTAGGAGGCCGAGGACAGATTTCTAGAGAAAGACACCCCTGACGCTAGACACCCCCTTTTTTTTTCCGTGTGGAAAATCTTCGGAAAGACCGTCCCATCTGCCGAAGGGAGGGCAGCTAGGTTGTGGGATCCGTACCCACTAAAAACCACACGACGTACCTCGAGGCGCTTATGTTGGATCCCGGGTTCCCGTTTGTACGACTACCGAGTATCCAACGCGACGGCCCGCCCTGTAGGTGGTGTAGGGCAGGCCTCCTCTCTTAGTTAGGGTGGGGAATGTCCCTCCCACCCTACCATCACAGGAGGGCACGGATACGTGCGCGCACCTCCTAGGGTCATATGTAGGGTGTGCCTCCCTCAAGGCAACACCCCGACCCTAGTGGGGGGGGGGGGGGGGAAGAGGCAGTTCTCCTTCGTCTGGCTCGGTGGCGGCGCATGACGGCAGCGGTGGGGGCACTCTCCCGCTCCCGTTCGGCCGAACGCTAGACACCCCTGACGTTTACAAATAATTTATAAAATACTTAAATTATTTATAAGCAGGCATAAACGTGTCACGGAACCCGTCCGATGCATCCGAGAAGTCGACGTCCACCACGCCGGCCGACGAACCCTCCGAGAGTGAGCGAGACAGAGCATCCATGGAGCGCTCCTCAGTAGAGAGGGAGAAGGAGGATAAGAAGACTGAGAGGGAAGATCGCAGGTCCAGCGATAAAGAGGGAGAGGTCGCTGATAGAGAAGAGAAACATATGTAAGTTTGTATTCAAGTATTTTTTTTAATGGGTGATAATAGAATGGTAACCCCGTCTGTGCTATCGGGATACGCTGGCGGAGCACCAGTGATGGAAAACAGTTGAGGATGAAAAGGTAGGTCAGTTAGCCCATCGTGACGAATTCCACTAGAATTAATCACGACGGTTTCCAGGAGGAACCACGTGGATGTCGACCTGATAGAGGCTGCATTGCTAGCAATGGGTTAATAGACTCTATTACTAACAATCCCTTTCCCCCCTATATTCAAGTATTATCATTAAGATTAAAAAAGACTTCAGATTTTTTTTTAAGTTATATATTTATTTATAAGGGTGTTTTATATTGGGCCCTATAAAAACTGTAAATCTATGTGGTTGCCTCCTTTCTTCTTATGCAAATATAATTAGTAAAAAGAGGATGAAAGATACAATATCAGTTGCTATTTTTCTCAATTCATAGCAGGCTAGTGTAAAGTTTTTTCATTTTTTAAAGATTATGAGCTTTTTTGATACGACAAATGTGATCCCAAATTTTATCAAAAATTTGATCGAGTAAAACAAAGAAACGGCTGAATGGATTAAATTGAAACTTTGTGGGGTTTTTGTGGGTATATTGAACTGTAAAAGGCACACTTAACATTAGGGGTTTCCTCAATACGAGCGATTTAGCGGTTTATTTTGCAAAAAACCATCAAAAGCACTATTTTTGTTGCATTTTGAAAAACATGTCAGGAGGAAAAAAATTTTTTTTTCTAAAAACAATCGTTTATTCTTGTAGGAAATTTATCCAAGTTTCCGAAACCCACCTTCAACTTTCTGTGCGATCATTAGTTGCAGAGATATTGTTAATCAAAGACAAAATTATCTTTTTTCATTTAAAGTCCGATATCTTGTTGAAAAATTAACGTATCGAGAATTAAAGAAAAAGGGATTTGAAGCTGAATAAACGAGTTGTCTGGTCCACATGATGATTATGTAAAAAAAAAAATTAAAGACCATAGATGTAAAAAAAAACAACAATATTTTTTTTATTTTTTTGTTAGTGGTTTTTTCAAAATTACCGGAAAAAAATTGAAATGATTTTTTTTTTTGTTTATACTCAAAAACTAGACTCTTGGAGCTACAATTTGCTTTTTTTGAAATGTCTCTACGATGATTTTTCTCCAAGTTATTACAGCCTATTGAAAATCACAGATAAAAAGTGAGATTTCAATGTTTTCTTGAAGATCTTTGAACTATTAAAAAAAAATGTACTGCGGCAGCCCCCGGCGGCCGACGGTGGGCCGCATCAGCACGCACTGCGGCAGCCCGCGACCTCTCGAGTGTGGCGCCGCCGTCACCGTGCGCGCGCCCGCCGCCCGCGCCGCTAGCACCGCTCGCGCTGTATGCACGCATCAAGGTTTGTCTGCTTTTCACTTCATCTACATCCTTATAGAGTTTGGTCGAAATCTGGTTAGCCGTTCTTTTTTATAGGCACAAGGAACTAAATCATCATGATGGTAATCATCATGTCTACTGATTCTTCTAACATGGTATTTTTTTATGCAACTTAGAATAGCAAACGAGCTGGCGGCCCACCTGATGGAAAGTGGTAACCGTCGCCTGTAGGCATGAGCAGTAGCATGGACATAAAGCGTACTGTGTCATTCATAATACCTCCCATATGTTGCCATTCCTAAGGACTCAGGTGATATTCCTTTGTTGTACCCTGTAAATTCACTGCCATATCCCACACTTCAAACGGACACGGACATGCAAACACAATGCTTCTTATAGTAGCTATAAGTTTTCATTCAGCAGTATTTTTCCAATCGTACATCGCTTTGGTCCTTCGAGCCGGATCATTCTTTAGTCACTTGTTTCTCTATAATTTATAATATACTAAGTGAACGTAATCGATCGCAGAGAGCTTGCGGCGGCTAGACGATGTGATCGCGCGGGCGTTACGGGCCAAGAGCGGCGTCGTGGGTGCGCTGCTGGGCGTACCCTCGCAGCAGTTCGCCCAGCTGGCAGATCTGGCCGCGGCCGACGCCCAGGGGGAGGTGGACCCTGCGGGCGCTGTGCAGGAGGGCGAGGACGTGCACCAGCTGCTGCTAGCGGCGCACGCGCAGCTGCACCGGCTCACGATGCAGCTCACGCGCATGATGAACGTCAGCGAGGCGGCCGCCGTGGCGGCGAGGTCGCGCCGCGGCACCTGCGACGCCTGCCGCCCGCCGCCGCCCGGACAACCCGGACAACCCGGACACTCGGGCCCGAGGCGACCTCTCGCGCGTACATCCACTATTCGTAGCGAAGGTTTGTTCTCCATGTTCTTTTCATTCTTAAATATTGTTTCGAATTATTTCAGTTTGAGATTTGCAAAGATATATCTATAATTTTTGCGAAACATTTAGAAAGGAATTTCCGAGTCGTTTGTATTTTTGTGTGTTAAGCAATTAGGTCACCGATTTTAATGTGGGGGGGGGGTGGGGGAGGGGGAGTTTGCCAGTAGTTTCCACGCTTGACAGGCGAATTGGCATCCGCAGTTAGGAGTTTGGTAATGTTTTAAGAGGAACGCTTCTGTCCACACTTCGACCTTTAAATAAATAAGATGTGGTCCATCCTATGCCGGGACCACACTGTATTTGTATAACGCAGGGACCGAATCTACGACCATCAAAAAGTAAATCGGTGTATTAAGCTGCTAGTCCACCAAGGCCATCAATTAATTAATTTTAATTTCAACAGAGAACATCGAACCACCTTCGGAAAAGTCGGACAAGATAGAAGAGAAACAAGATGACAGTGAATTCAAAATAACCGAGTCTATGAGCATAATTGAGAGTCTGGACAAGGACTTGTCGTTCGATATGCTCACCGAACTGGACGGCTCCATGGAGGTGCTCGAGGATGACCCCGAAGGGGAAATGGGTTAGTATATTTGTTTCAAGTAATTTAAAAAAAGATGGGGCTTTTCAATTCGGTCATTTTAATTTTTTCTCTAACAAAAGAATGTTGTAAAGTTAATAATGTACTAGGAGAGTAGTACAGGGCTGTCGCGTTTTTTACTAATAATAAAAACAAAGTAACTAGGAGAACAGAACAAAACTGTGTAGAAAGATCAGAATTTTCACCAATAAAAAGTAGGAGAGCAGAATAATGCAAGAGAAGATTACAAAGCTAAGAACCTGGTGCTTGAGTTTCTCTTAGTAATAAAAAAAAGTATTAGGAGATCAGAACTATGCATCGGTTATTTTTCTCTCTGATACAAAATATATTGTAACACCGACAAAGTACTAGGAGAGTAGAAACACACCCCCGAGATGTCATAAATAAAAATGCCACGATCCGTGCCTGTCACAACTACAGAAACGAGTAACGTCTGTACACGTGACAATGTGTATGTGTGTAGTTACGTTTAGCGCGGAAAAAAAGTGTTTGGGTTCTGTGCTGAAGCGTACTTGAGAGGGGGTAAGGTCAGATCGCAGCGGGCGACTTACACTATGGTAAAACACGCAGAATTTAGATAAAATGGCGCTCATAATTTCTTTAATTAAATTATGCTTACGATTAAATAAATTCCATATTATATAAGGTAATGAAATAGAATATTAAATAAATATTTCGAACGTATTTATTTTGTCAAGACAAAATTGTGAAGCTAATTTATATCTGTGTCTGGTCAGAGGGCACGGCGTGTACGGCGGCGGCGGCGGCTCGGCTGGCGGGCGGCCTAGGAGCACTGAGCGGTACACTGGGCCGCGTGCTGGGCGTGCTGCCCGCGCGCGACCGCGAGCGCCGCATGTTGCGAGCGCAGCTTGCAGCGTTGCGGGAAGAGAACGACCGCCTGCGGGCACGCACGCTCGGTACGTACAAATCACGTGTCGCAACATGTAACGAAGCGTTGCAGCTCAATGGAGTGGTTTCTCTTTTCATCATTATCACGCGTACTGCTGGATATGAGAATTCTCCATTGACTGCCATAAAAAACGGTCCTGAGTCACCTGCATTTACTGACTCCTTGCAATGCATTTCAGGGAATTACTCCATCTAGCGGGCGGTCCTACACTGCGTTACACCTACTCGCCCCGCTGTGTCACCCCTTCTTTCCCGTGGGTGTCGTAAGAGGCGACTAAGGGAACATATGGTCGAGGGATCGGCGGCAGCGTCAGCGGGTTGGCAATCGCAGTTTGGCTTTTCGTTATGTTTTAAGACGTCTTACGACACCTATGGGAAAGGAAGGGATGGCCTATTCTATGCCGAGGCCAACATGACTATTTATATAGGTTTATTTCTGAATATTTAATTTAATTTGTATTACAGATTGTCAAATACCCGAAGAGATCTCGTTGGCGAAGTCTACCGCGGACCAGTCGATACAGGTACTTACAAGATATTTATTTAACAATTTTAATAAGATTTCAAATAATAATCACGGTGCCAGAGTGACTAACATTGTGCTATTTGCTATTAAATAGATAGATAGATACTCTTTATTGTTTCCTCCATAAGATTACAACAGTATTAGAAATAGTAATTGTTTCTATTGATAAAAACTAATCTTGTAAAATAGACTTTGTACTTTGTACAAAAGTCGATTGCTTGTGTACCTCTGTCCCATTCGTGTTTCAACCGTGAAGCAGTTGTGTTTGCATGGCTGTGTTTCGGTTTGAAGGGTGGGATATGGCGTGAATTTACAGGGTACGGAGGAATAACACCCGAGTTCTTAGGAATGGCAACGCATGAGGGGTATCATGGGCGAAACAGTATACTCTGTTATGTCCATGGCACTGCTCATGTCTATAGGCGTCGGTTATCACTTTCCATCAGGTGGGCCGTCAGCTTGTTTGCCATTCTAAGTTGTATAAAAAAAAAAAAAACTAAAAATATATATTTCTATTGTCTTCTTTGCAGGACCAACCTAGCAATGGGGGGTGATCACATTTCGAGGATTAAGCATAACTGAACTGATTACCATGCCGATGACATTTTAAACATAACACGTGGCCAGCCCGAGACACAGGGCGCCGCCGCCGCCATATTGCGGACGAAAATGGAACTAATCGTACACGCAACGTGACGGTCTATAGCTTACACGAATTAAGAGCTTCATCAGGATCGGTTTAGCATTTATTTTTGAATGTTTTCATAATGTCATCGTTTTGTTTACCATAATCGAATATCAACTTGTATATTTTGTAATTTTGTTTTTTTTTTTTCTACGTGTATTTTCTGTTGATTGTAAGTACGAAACTAAAATTAGAGGTAATCTATTATTATTCCATAATTAAGATTTACATTATGTGATCTTTTTTTGTTTGTTACAGAATAAGTGAGGTTTTTTTTCCTCACTCTCTTTCTCTCTCTGTCTTGTATATTATAACATTTTCCAAAAGGATTCTAAGTTATGTTTGGTGTAAATAAATGTATGTTTTAGATGAGACGTCTCGTTATATGTTGAATAAAATATATTTTTTTTTGTGTATAAAACAATATATTGTAATGTTAATTGATAACTTTGTAATTTATAAATATGTATTTGATTAAAGTATTACATTGACAATATATTGGGGGGAAAAAAAAACTATATTTAATGATTAATTGTAATCTCAGAACGGTATTCGATCGTAATTTGGTTAATTAGTTCAAAATAATTTGAAAATGACATATTAAAAGTTAACGTAGAAATTGATGTATCATTCGTGATCGGGATTCGAACCTACCGCTTGAATCTTTCCCGATTTATCAAACTTGTTACTTAAATACATTCATTCCGAAATCGTATATCGAACGATCTATTGTATATTATTTGTCATTATTTTATTTTTCACTTCATATATTTGGTAAATAATCTTCTTGTAAAAACTAATTAAAATAAAATTAATTTACATTTAATGAAATATTCTACTAGTAAAATTAAATTTATTTTTTTTACAGAAAAACGTGGGTCAAAACAATGAGTTGCTTTAAGATTAAGTAAAAGCTTTTTTAAAGTCATACATAGTCAAGATTGTTTACCAAAGATGCACAAGTGAAAAAACTGCTGTGTATTAAATTAAATAAAGAGTCAATGACTCGAATTATTTATATTTATTAACGCTTAATAAAATGAGAGATAACACTATTATTGCCATGTTAGCAGCAAAAATAACTACTATTTAGGACTTATAAATTGACAAGAATAGCACATTATTGTCTAAAATGCTCTAATTGACAATTGGCAACTCATGTTTTTTTTTCATTTATTTTTTTACGACACGATAGACAGTATAATATCCTGTACATCGGTTTGAAGGGTGAGATATGGCAGTGAAGTTACTAGGCACTAAGATATAAGATCTTCATGTCGCAAGAGTTGGCAACGTGCCAGTGATGCCTCTAGCTACAAGTATTTATAAGTTTCGTTTACCATCTGGCGAGACGTAAGCTTGTTTAACACTCGTTATTATTAAAAGTAATGTTCATGTCTATAGGGACGGTTACCACTTACTGTTAGGTGGTATATTAGCTTTCCATTTCAAACAATAAACAAAACATAAAATTAATTTGTTAATCGTGTACAGTAATTTTACATTTAATTTCTCGTATAAAATTATCGTGACGAGAAATTTCTCATGCAAAATCGCATTGTATATTCCATTACGTAATATATGCATTTCTGCGATAAATCGCTTATATTGTAATTATCGTACTTCGAGATTGTAATGACGAGAAATTTCTCATAAATTTCTCCATTGTATATTTCTCATCACGTAATCCCCATTTCTACGAGAATATCGCTTATATTATTTATAATAATCTGTCGTACACCGAGATTTGTGTGACGAGAATATTCTCGTGACCTCAACATGTATATTTCTCATTACGTAATATCTATATTTACGCGATAAATCGCTTATAATGTCGATATAGGTTTAAGTGAACAGTAAAAGTTGTATAGATATACACAAGTGCCCTAAGACCGTAGTACCTTGTATAATGCCATATTTAGTAAAGCTAAAGTGATTGCATATAAGCTGTTTAATTTATTCAATAAATGTATACAGGCATCCTTTGAAGCTATCATTTGTAATTCCCTAATTTTATTATTATTATATATCAACAAATAATATATAATTATTTAGTTATATAAATACCTAAATCGTCCTCTATGTATACTATTTATTAAATGTGTATGCATATACATATAAAAGCAATAAATAACAGTGCCTCAATGCATATTTTTATTACACGATAAAAGTAGAAAGTTTGAAATATATATTATAAAAAAACATGCATAAGTTTATGTATAAATTGAACACTCATACATATATAGAGAAGTTGGATTATTTATTTAAAAAAAAAATTAAGAACTGTAATGCCAAATGGGGTAGTCAGAGGCATTTATCAATGTATGTAATATTTAACGAGTTTATTTTATCTACATTTCTGTGAATAATAAAATTCGACAAATATCTTTTTTAAAAGATTTCTTCTTTTATTTGTGGAATAAAAGTGACTAATTTTCTTTAATAGTTTGTAAAGAGAAAATTGCTGTAAATAAGGTACGTGATAAACTGTTTTGGTATCCAAACGTATAAAATAAAGAGTAACAATATTATATATACTAGCGACCCGCCCTGGCTTCGCACGGGTGCACATTACATAGCATCCCATTAGAAACATCTAAAATTATCAGTGTTCCTCTATTATATTATGCATGTATTATACATATAAATCTTTCTTTTGATTCGCTCTATTAAAAAAACCGCATAAAAATCTGTTGCGTTGTTTTAAAGATCTAAGCATACATAGGGACGGACAGACGGGATGCGACTTTGTTTTATACTATGTAGTGATTGATACTCAATACCATTTTGTAGTAATATAAGTGAGTGTTATTAAATTGTACGTTACATTTATTGTGTATAAAAAATACAATGCCTGTGTACAACATATAAACAGGGAGAAATATATATATTTTAAACAGCTTGTATCGCAAGCGAACAACGTGTACCTATATTTTAACGCCACTGTAATAGAGCCAGCGTTTTATATAAATATATACAACATTGCATATATATATATGTATATTGTAAAACATATGTTTTGTACCTTAGGCTAGTTTAAGACCAAATGAAACCCATCCATTTTCCTTTATATATATATATATATATATATATATATATATATATATATATATATATATATATATATAATATTTATAAACATATTAATTACACGAGCTTTGATAAAAATTGGCGTTTTATATAATGGATTTGATGGAATTTGTACATACATATATACATATGTGACAATTATGAAATAATGTTTGATGTATTATGTATACAGTAACTAACAGAATTGGAAACCACCAATATGTAGTACTAATGTTTTGGACGTCACTAGACGCGAATGTGGTGTGCAAATGTCGTCGATGTTAGTCGCGGGGAGCCACGACCCCCGCCGCTCGTACGCCGCTGTGACCCCCGGCATATTCCATCGCTTCCGTATCGCTTTAACACGGCATATGACAATTGTAATAGTTAGTGGTATCAATAAAGTACCGTTATACAAATACATTTGTGTCTTTTATTTCATTTTGGAAAATTAAATAGACAAAATTTTTTCCATGAAGGGAAAAATTTTTAACTTATTTTTTACTTTTTTTATTTTTTGTATATTATTTTTTTTCATCTTTTTTTCGCTGTGCATCTATGTCTATTGTTGTTTGTGTGCTGTAAGTAATGCAAATAAATTATTTAGCTATCTATCTTTCAAAGAAATATTCGTCGAAAAATAATAAAAATATTTGATACTTACCTACTTGGGTTTGCATTAAAAAACAAAACAATAATAATGATATTTCTCGTGGTTCGAATCGACATTATCCGTCTCGAATGCTCACGATCACTCGAAATATCTCGATCGGCCTTCCCTCGAGAAATCTCGGAATCGACATATCTAGAATTGACATGACATGTCTTGATTTTCGCTCGAGAAATGTTCGAATTCGAACTATTTCTCGATTTTGTGATTCATTCGAATGCACGAGAATTGGCCTCCAGCTACCTAATACACTGGCTTACAGTGTAGAAATGGATCACCAGTTACTTTTATTTATATTTTCATTAAGTTGTATTGTAACAAACTATAGGAGAACCTGTTGAGCCCTGCCACTATGTGTACCTAGGCCACGTAGCTTGTTTAAATGTTCCCGTGTTATTATATTATTTTGCCTTTGGTATTCGGTACATCACTGCAGACTATCTAATGTGAAGTTAACCGCTTACCACCATTAATCATGTATATGGTGTTATTAAGAAAAAAAAAAAAGTTTTTTGACAAAAAAATACTTTTAATATATTTTGAAGTCTGTTATTTCTATGATTTTTTTATTGGTCACTTAACATTTATTATACAATGGATTCTTTGATTTTTCAAATGTTTTAAAACAATAATAAATTTACGAATATTAAACACATGCAAGTATAAATTGTCCATTTATTTTACTAATAGGTAATCAAGTAACTTATCTTGAAAAATATATAAATTTAGTTTATGTCCAATGCATCAAATTACAGAAAAAAATTTGACAAAAACCGACCTAGGTACAAAAGGTTCCCCTACAAAATTATTACTTGACACCAGCTCAGATCATGGCGAAGGTTACAGCTACGATTAAAACTAGTGGTGGTACTGCCACGTTCGCTGCTTTGGTGAGCGGGATCCCCGTTATGTACAGGTGTAAATCACTCAGCACTGCTTGCTTCACTCGTTCCAGTTCTTCAGTATCGCTGTTGCCTGTCGCTCTGTAAGAGATTACCATCTCCTACCGGATTGAATGAAACAAAACTATCTCCTATTAATTATTTTTTTATTGCACTATACAAAAAAGAGCAACCCAATACAATACCAACTTAATATGAAAAAGAGAGATGACCTCAGGCCCACTATAGGGGCGAAGCAATAAAAGAACAAAAGGCCAGATATAATAAATTAAAACTTACGTGATCGCTCTGCAGTGTGATACTCCAGGAACAACGTACACAGACGCCAGTGCGGTCGCGTGAGTCACGTTGGGGCCCATCGGTGACCACGGGTCGTGGCCACCCGCCACCGACACCGAGTAGTCGGGTAGGTGGGTCAGACCCGCGAACAAGTTGTTGGTCCTCACAATACCTTGCCGTAGGCGGACTTCATCGAAGCTGCAATATGAACATTGATTAGTAAAAAACATTGTGTTTTACGCAATAGATAGATAGATACATTTTATTGTTTCCTCCAAAAGATTACAATAGTAAACTTATTACAAACAATTATAAATAAACTAAAACAATTAAGATAGATAAAGATATATTTAATTAACAAAGTATGTTTGAATAAGCACAGAATTTATCATTGATTCCTACACTAGACTGAGCCTGTCCTGTAGAAAGCAGAACTCGTGTTATCATATCGTGATAGTCGTAGAATACTGACGGATCTGACGAATATTACATATATAGATCCGTCGGTATTCTACGACTATGACGATATACATGCATACAAAGATAAACATAGGTTTTTTAGGCAATTGTGACAAAACTCAGTTATTTTGATGTAAGAACTTTAGTTCTTACATCAAAATAACTGAGTTTGATGATTAACTGATTTTGATAAAATTTGTATGAGACCAAACTTTAAGTATATCCTTTCAGATAAAGAAATAATTTTCCAAAGCGGTTTAGAACTGACAAAGATATGAGGCAAAACTTAAGAAAAATACAATCTATTTCAGAACTTTTTTTTAAGTTGGTTGAAAATAACCATACACCGACTTTAATCGTAGCAAAACCAACTATTTATATTTAAAAAGTAAATTAATAAATCTATTTTGATAAAACATCTATGGGACCAATTTGAAAGTATATACTTCCAGATAAAAAAGTATTTTACAATTCAGTTTTTAAATGACGGAGTCATGAGGTTACAAACATCACCAGAGGGAGACTTTGTACAAAAGTCATTTGCTTGGGCATCTTTGCCCCATTCGTGTTTCTACCGTGATGCAGTCATGTTTGCATGGCTGTGTTTCGGTTTGAAGGGTGGGATATGGCAGTGAATTTACAGGGTACAGAGGAATAATACCTGAGTCCTCAGAAATGGCAACGCATGGGGGGTATCATGGGCGAAACGGTATACTCTGTTATGTCCAGGGTACTGCTCATGTCTACCAATAAACTTACCATCAGGTGGACCGTCAGCTTGTTTGCCATTCTAAGTTGTATAAAAAATAACATTGAAAAAAATACAACTTGATTTGAGGACCTCTTTTTTTAAGTCAGTAGAAAACACAACGGAATTGAAGGAGATCAACATGAAAGGTATTTATTTATTTAAGGAACACCAACAGCATATTGCATTATAACGTATAGGTATAACAAACATTAAATACAATACAATATTAATGCACACGCCTGTTATAGGTATTCACAGCATTCACTTTAACATAATTATACAGTGCGAGAAAATTAAGTAAATAATAAAAACAAACATGTAACCTAAGTCGTGAGCAATATCTGAAAATACGATTGTGAGTGAATTGAATTAAAAAATATTAGAAAAAATATATATTATGATAATTAGAGTTAATTATTATTATTTTTTATTGTTGTACAAAGTGTTTCAGCAATTTATTCCTGTAGGAATTCGAATTATCATGCACTATATCAATTTCAGGTAATTTGGCATTAATTTCATTGTACGACGCACTAATCCTGGCCAGAGGTTGATGCAGCCCTAGGTTTGTTCTGCAGCGCGGTAAGTTAAATGTTCTAGTTATAGGGTGTCGAGGACAATTTAGAGGTACCGTTAATCGGATTGAACTCAGTAAATCTGCACAATGAATTTTATTATTGAGAATTTTATGAATAAACATTAAATCTGCAATCATACGACGCGTTTCAAGAGAGGTAACGTTAAAGAAGCTTGATATAACAATGATATTATTTCCATGAGCACTATCACGTGTATCTTAATATATTAACAACGGAAACGTAAACCAGTAACCAGCAAAATTACAGGAAATCATTAGAGAATGATTCATTTAACGTGCGTCAAGAAAAGTGGTCAGGCTGTTGTTTACAAAATAATGTAATATTGGAGTTTTTACAATTAAATATGTTATTAATTAACTAAGATCACGTAATGAATTACTACCGGTGAATAAGAGGTTTCAGAACTGGAATAATTAATTTATTTATTCTGATTCGATACATATAGCACGATTCATGTGTAAGATCTATACACAATGTGATGGCTTAACGATTAGAGCATATTAAATCTTAAGATCAGACCAGAAAAATAAAGTAAGTACACTAGTTATTAAATAATTATTAATATTAAATGTATATATATGTACCTATGTATGTATATGTACCTATTTTGTATGTAAAGAGATATTTTATGTATATTTATATTATATGTATATGTATTATCGTATACAGATATGTATTTATTTTGATTTTAATTGTATGAGTTACTTATATATGTCAACATATTTTATATTTTTTTAATAGAAACAACTATACTGTTTCCGTCTATTATTGTACGCATACTGCCCGCTAATAATTAATGCTCCTTTCCACTCAGGGTTTGCTGGAAGAGAACTCTTACAGAGTTAAGCTCGCCTGTTGTACATCTTTATTTTATATATATATATATATATTATATGTTGTAATTTTTTCTGTGTACAATAAAGAATAAATATTAATAATAATAATAAAAATAATTCATGTTATAAATATTGAGGTAATGTAATGCAGTGTTTTACAAAATGTGGGTCGCAACTTTTTGGGTCCCCGAGTCTTTACAAGGGGGTCGCGGAAGGTCGCGAAGCAGTGAAAAATCAACAGTTCCGTAAATACATCGATCAATCAATAATAAATACATAATGATGTATCTGTAACAGACATCGATTACATGTCTGTTTCAGATACTTTATTATGTATTATTTATTTTATTTTATCCGATACCTAACTATGAATATAAATACAACTGTACGGTATTCATAATAATACTATTATAAAATTCATACACATTCAAAAACGTGGAGGGTAAGGGGTCGCAAGATATTTTTACATAATAAAGGGGTTGCGTCATGAAAAGTATTGAAAAACACTGATGTAATGTATATTGTAAATTGAACTCTCTTTTCTATGCTTAGCGTCTCATTTGTAATGAGGTCTAATGAATCCGTTGCTAGCAACACACCCTATCGGGTCGACTTCCACGCGGGACCCACTGGAAACTATCGTGGTTAATTCTAGTGGAATTCGTCACGATGGGCTAAATGACCTGTTTTCATCGTCTCCTATCTATATGCTATCGTGTATCATTGGTGCCCCGCCAGCGTATACCGCTAACGTAGGCGGGGTTACCATTTTATTATAATCATCCATTTAAAAAGGTACTCATGTAGAAGATTTACCAGAGGGAGACTTTGTACAAAAGTCGATAGCTTGGGTACCTCTGTCCCATTCGTGTTTCAACCGTAAAGCAGTTGTCTTTGCATGGCTGTGTTTTGGTTTGAAGGGTGGGATATGGCGTGAATTTACTGGGTACAGAGGAATAACACCTAAGTCCTCAGGAATGGCAACGCATAGGGGGTATCATGGGCGAAACAGTATATTCTGTTATGTCCATGGTACTGCTCATGTCTATAGGCGACGGTTACCACTTTCCATCAGGTGGGCCGTCAGCTTGTTTGCCATTCTAAGTTGTATAAAAAAAAATTCTGTAGAAACTAACCGATTAACTAGTAACGCCCTCTGGTAAATGAGTAAGTAGGCTTTAATTAAATTTCTTTACGTCAATAATACAGTTTCGAGTTGTTTACATTCGATATTTGAATATATTTATAAAGTACAATTGAAAACGGCCGAAAATAAACTTGTGCGAATTGAAAACCGCAAAACTTCAAGTAAATTGCAGTGAATTAATTCATGTAATCGATTTTACGCAAGCAAAACTCCGGAATGACACATACCTATTTGTGCCTACATAATATTGCACATAAATGGATATTAATTAATAAATCAAATTACTGGTCTAGATATACTATAAAATAATTGTTCCGGTCGTTAAAATTGTTATATTTTATTATTTAGGTTATTCAAATTAAAAATATCTATATTTTTTTTTTATGGGTGAAAATGGTATGGTAACCCCGCCTGTGCTAACGGGATACGCTGGCGGGGCACCAGTGAAGGGTGTTAGATGAGAATGAAAACAGGCCAGTTAGCCCATCATGATGAATTCATTAGGAATTAACCATGATAGTTTCCAGGGAGAACCGCGAGGAGGTCGACCTGGTTGGGTATATTGCTAGCAATGGGATTCTCAGTCTCCATTACTAACAATCCCTTTCCCTCCAAAATATCTATATTCAAACAGACTTGTTTACAAGTATTTTTAAATTGTAATTTTTTAAAAGAGTTTTGTTAGTAGTTGCCATTCCTTGGCAGGCGGATTGGCATCCGCAGTTAGGCTTTTAGGAATACTTTAACGCTGCTGCCCATCCTTTGACCATTATGTTCCCTTAGTCGCCTCTTACGACACCCACGGGATAAGAAAGGGTTGCCTAGAATAGGCCACCCGGAACACACACAGCGATGTATATGAATGCTTTATAATAAATAAATAAATAATTATAGTGTTCCTATGATTATTGCAAAATATGAACATATTTTCATTAAGTTTTTTATTATTTTTTATGCAACTTAGAATGGGAAACAAGCTGACGGTCCACGTGATGGAAAGTGGTAACCGTCGCCTATAGACATGAGCAGTACCATGGACACAATAGAGAATATTGTTTCGCTCAGGATACTCCTCATGCGTTGCCATTCCTGAGGACTCAGGTGTTATTCCTCTGTACCCTGTAAATTCACACAATATCCCAACCTTCAAACTGAAACACAGCCATCCAAACACAACTGCTTCACGGTAGAAACACGAGTGAGACAGAGGTGCCCAAGCAAACGACTTGTACAGCCTCCCTGTGGTAAGTTCTATTACAACAGGCTATATTTAATATTTCAAAGTGGTTTTTGTACTCACTCGATTGAATAGAAGTCCTTGCACATCTGATGGAAGTACTCGAGTGGTACAGTCGACAGGAAGGGTTGGCGCGAGCTGGTAGTGGTCTGGTACCATCCGTACTCCACGCAGGTCTGGTAGGTCCACAGGCGCACTGGGGACAAACGTCTCACCTTAGACTATATAAATAGAGTGTTTCCACACAAATGCTTCGAGAAAAGTTGTACAACTTTTTCATACAATTTTGCATGATAAATAGTTATAAGTAATTCCTTTATACCTTCTATATAATTTTATTTATTAAATAAATAAATTTAATAACATGTCGGGATACATTATGTGCGTAAGTATGTATATAGAACACTGATAAAAAAAAAAACAAGTCAGCTAATTTGATAATTAGCTGACAAAAAGTTAAGGCGTTTTTGAGACTCGATGCTCTATGTATGTAATCCAAGCGTCTCACTTATGGGCATGCTTTGAATCCAATAAGAGTAAGATTTTTTTTATACCACTGAAGTGGCAAACAAGCATACGGCCCACCTGATGGTAAGCGGTTACCGTAGCCTATGAACGCCTGCAATACCAGGGGTATTACGCGCGCGTTGCCGACCCTGAAGAAACCTCTTTACCCCCTTTTGAAGAACCCCATGCTGTAGTCTCTTGGGAAAACCTCGGCAGGGAGCTCATTCCATAACCTGAGTGTTCGTGGGAGAAAGCATCTCTGAAACCGCGTTGTACGCGACCATTTAGGCTGTATATATATATATATATATATATATATATATATATATATATATATATATATATATATATATATATATATATATATATATATATATATATATATATATATATACCCTCCGTACTATTGCAAATCCACGGCATAATCCCTCTCAGCGAGATTACCATGCAATCTACATTGCAAATGCACGCTGCATCTTATACAATAGGCTTATTCACCGTCGCCTCTCGAATTCGTGTCCTAATGCACCGCTACTGGCTTCAATTTGAATTTAATCTTTAAATTCGAAATACCCGTTTGCAGGTGTAACTAATTATAATATATTGTTTTTTTTTTTTAATAATCAACGTATTACGAGAATTAATTTGCTCAGAAAATAATTGACTTCATTCATAAACCCATATCATCATCATCTCAGCCATTATCTGTCCACTACTGGACATAAGCTTTCCCCATAGACTGTTATAAGGAACGGTCCTGAGCCACCCGTATCCAGTGACGTCCTGCAATGCATTTGAGGTTGTCACTCCACTTAGTTCTACACTGAATGGGGATTAGTAACCCCATTACTAACAATATAACCTATCAGGTCGACCTCCTCGCGGTTACCCCTGGAAACCATTGTGATTGATTCATTGATGAATTTGTCATGATGAGCTAACTGACCTGCGTCATCCTATATCATCTCTCACTGGTGCCCCGCCAGCGTATACCGATAGCGCAGGCGGGGGTCACTATTCCATTATCATTCATTAAAAAAAAAGTTGTACACTGCGTTTGCCCGTACGGGGTTACCGCTCAAGAACTTTTGATTCGGTTGTCGGTTCTTCGAGCTATGTGACTAGCTTATTGCCACTTCAGCTTGCTTATCCTTCGGGCTATGTCGGCCACTTTGGTTCTATTGTGGATATCCTCATTTTGGATACTGTCAAGTAAAGAAGCTCCGAGCATATGGTCCACTGTGTAGGATATATAAGCACACGCACGCGGACAAACGACAAGTTGTTTGTAGACTAGTTGTTTGCCGTGAATTTACTGGGTACAGAGGAATAACACCCGAGTCCTCAGGAATGGCAACGCATGGGGGGTATCATGTGCGAAACAGTACACTCTGTTATGTCCATGGTACTGCTCATGTCTATAGGCGACGGTTACCACCTTTCCATCAGGTGGGCCGTCAGCTTGTTTGCCATTCTAAGTTGTATAAAAAAAGACACATTGTATTGGACTTTATTTCGCAATACACAAATTTTACACAATTTCTGTTATTTTGATCTAAAAACTAAACTACTCAACCGATTTCGATAAATTCTCTATAGAACCAATCTGTAAGTATATTATTTCACGTAAAATAATAAATTTCCAAAATCGGTTTACAGCTGACGGAGTTATGAGGTAATAAACTTCAAAAAAAATACAAGCGAATTGAGAAATTTCTTCTTTTTGAAGTCAATTGCAAATAAAGTAAGTAGGTCGATAAAATATTATAATATATTCCTTTTAAGATGATATTAAATTTAAATATGAAGTACAAGTAAATCATTTGTAATGCAAAATAATAGGGAGTTGTAAAGCCGGCTCGTTCTCGCAATACCAAAATAATAGATCAGATGCAAAGGTTTTCATTGTTTGCACATTAATAAATCATTCGTTGACGTCAATTGAAATGATTTAAATGCAAAATATAAGAAGCGACAACGAATTGTGAACTTTGCAAGTCCCAGAGGAGATTTTTCGAGTACATAATCATTATAAATTTGACAAAATTGAAAATATTATCGTTTTGTGTGCGTACAATTTACAAAAGACAAGACTAGAGAGTTTTTTAACCGACTTTAAAAAGTAGGAGAATTTCAATTCGGTTGTCTGTTTTTCTTTTATGTTTGTTACCATATAACTCCATCAGTAGTAAACCTATTTGGAAAATTTGAAAATTTGTAACGGATAAACTCAAATTTCGCTTAGCTAATTTAATCAATTCTTTTATCTATAGAAAGCTACATTATAAGAGAATAACATGAGACGTTTTCAAGTCATGACAACAACAACTTACTGACTGAGTTAGGCGAGTCGTAGTCTGTGTTGGTGTGAGCGGTGACCACCTCCGAATATCTGGACTCTATACACGGCTGCGTCCAGCTTTGGGCGGTGATCCAGTTCGCGAGACGCTGTACCGGATCCGCTGACCAGAGAAGTAAATGATTAGAAAGAAAGAACATTATTCAGGTACATTTAAATTTGCAGACAGACAGAGGTTCATCCGCAACCCCTTACGGGGTTGTAGGTGCGGGCCTCGAGCGTGTGTTCTTTGCCCAGGCAGTCTGCGCAGGCTGCCGCCTGCGTGTCAATAAATTTGAGCCCATGAGGCCAAGCCGACACTTTTGTAAATAGCACCGGCTAAGGGTTAAATTTGCATTGCAGGGAGTGGTTGCAGGTGGCTCAGGACTGTACCTTATGGCAGTCTATGGAGGAGGCCTGTTGAAGGTTGCAACCTTTTTTATTTTAATAGCCATATGTTCTTCGTTTGTTTTCTTGTTTTTGCATAATTTCCTATCAAATTTAATCAAACAATTTATTATTAAAATACAATTATTTATTTATTATTCACTATAAAACTGGGAAATCCGTCATACTCTCCAACAAGACCTATGTCCAGCAGTGAATGAATAATGGCTGATGATGGCATTTAAATTTAAGCATTTTTGAATAGTATTTATTAGTTATTAAGTTATTATCTTGTTAGCTTTTCTTTTTTGCTAATACAGAATATCAATGTTTCCTCTTTTAAAGGCAAAGTTACCAATCTGACTTGTGGCCATTTTGTGTTACTGTGACACACGCACGAAAGGAAAAATAACAGTTGATGTAATGATGATGATAATGATTGAAAAAAGTAAAATTTATTTATTTATTTATTAGTACATATATGTGTACATGGCGGACTTAATGCTAAAAGCATTCTCTCCCAGTCAACCATAGGGACGTGTCAGAATACTCGAATGCGGTACTAGTAATTATTGATATACATACATACTAAAATTACATATATAAACGAATAAATATATATAAATAACAAATATACTTACACATATATGACATATACTATATTATACATGAAATTGAGAATAATATAAAGCACTTACTGCTCGGATAAAGTAAAAAAGTGAGCGTAAAAGTTTTTTTTAAAAACGGTTTAGTCGGTAGTCTCTTAATAGCATCAGGAAGCGCGTTCCAGAGTCGTGAAGAATGTAGATATTACTGATGTTATGATTAGTTATGACCTCTAAAAAGTGTTGCTATATATACGTACATATATTAGAATTGGTGAGCACAGCGCAAGCGGCCGGTATGTTCCCGGGGGTGGCGTACTGCACCAGCGCCGCAAAGGTCTCCGTGATGCCGTACCAGAAGAAGGTCGGGATGTCCCACTCGGATGATGTGTCGATTGGAGAGCATGTGCTGTGGTAAAAATATTTTTAAGATTGTTTTCCATAAAAAATTACAGTTGACTAAACCGATTTTGATAAAATTATCATTAGACCAACCTGCATCTCCTATGTATTGTATATATTTTCAAATAAAAGAATTTTCTAAATCGTTTAAAATCCTTTAAAAACATTGATATATTTTACGAAAAACTTTACACTGTAGTTTTAAGGAAAAACATACATACATACATACATATCTGTCACGCCTGTCTCCCATTAGGATAGGCAGAAACAATGGAATGCCAAATGCTTCGATTCAATCAAGCCTCTTTCGCTTCTACATTCATCAATCTTTTTATACACGCTCGCCGGTTACGGGTACTTTTAATTTGGCCCTTCTTCAGCACGTCGCCTATTTGGTCAACATACGTCCATCTAGAGCGGCTCCTACCGACATCTTCATTCATTCTGGCTCGATAAATCTCCTTCGTAATTCTTTTTTCATCCATCCTCTTCAAATGGCTAAAGCAAACATTAGGAAAAAACGTCGGCAGTAATTGGAGTTTACTTAAAGAGCGAGGAGATGGTCGCCGCTCCGTCTTCTGTTTCGAGGAGTTCCACCATCAGCTGCACGGCCTCAGACACACTGGACAGGCACTCTTCACTGCCTTGGGTGCGCAACGCTTCTGTTATCACCTCCAGGTATTCTAGAAAAAAGGCATTCCTATAATACTCTAGCTGACATGACATACGTTTTTTTGGCCTTTACCACCAACTAGTGGGTTAATTTTTGCCTTATCAGGATAAAAACTACACGTTAAAAAATACGTTACGGGTAAAAAATACACGTTTACAAAATTACATTAAAATCGGTTGAGCAATTTCGAAGACTCATCGTTATCACCATATCAGCCGTTAACTGTCCACTGCTGAACATAGACTTCCCCCATAAAAGGGGTTTTGCTAGTTGCCACACTTAGCAGGCGGATTGGCAATCATAGTTAGGCTTTTGGTGATGTTTTAAGAGGGAAGCAACTGCCCATTTCTCATTTCTCATTCTATGCCGGGACCATACGGCAAATAATTTCGGAGATTAAGGTGAACGAATATTTAGACGTGAGTTTTTTTTTATATCGCTAGCTGTATCCCACGGATTTTTCCGCGTGAATCAGTATATAGAACATAGGTTAAGTTAGGATTTAACCTATCTGTGTATCAAATTTCATTCTATTGTTTTGTAGTTTTTGCCTAAAAGAGTAACAAACATACATTTATTTTATTTATTCATTAGTACATATATGTGTACATGGCGGACTTAATGCTAAAAGCATTCTCTCCCAGTCAACCATAGGCAAGTGTCAGAATACTCGAATGCGGTACTAGTAATTATTGATATACATACATACTAAAATTACATATATAAACGAATAAATATATATGAATAACAAATATACTTACACATATGACATATACTATATTATACATGAAATTAAGAATAATATAAAGCACTTCTATAGATCCTTGCAAGATTTCGCGTTTGTAGAAATGCAAGCAGTAGGAAGATATCTCTTGAAGTAAAATTTACCAGGGAAGTCCTCTTGAGCGTGCAGAGGTCCACTGTCAGAGAACACAGCGTCCACCAGGTGGGGGTATGCCAGCCGCATCCATGTCGCCATGCTGCCGGCGTACGAACATCCCACCAGCACCACTTTGCTGTTCCTGTTGGTACAAATATAAAACTAGCTTTTTGCCCGCTACTTTGTCGTAACTTAAGTAGATGTCAAAAACAAAGATTTTAGAAGTTTTATCTGTCTATTTATCTATCTGTTTGTATGTTTAATCACGCAAAAACTGCACCAAATTGGATGCAGTTATTTTAGTGAAAGTTAGTATATATATATATATATATATATATATATATTATTTATTTATTTATATATATTTTTCGTCAGCTAATTGTTAAATTAGCTGATTCGTTTCTTTATCAGTGTTCTATATACATACTCACGCATAAAATGTATCTCGAAGTATTATTTAATAAATAAAATGAGTGTTTACGTATTAACAGAAATTATAGGACAAAATAAATATAGAAGTTATAAAGGAATCACTAAGAACTATTTATCACGCAAAATTGTATGAAAAAGTTAGCCATTTTTCTCGAAGCATTTCTATGGGGACACTCTATCTATATAATCTAAGGTTTGGTTAATATTTTATTTTGATGCGTTATCTAGAAGCGGATTATCTCAGTTATTATTTATTATTTATTTATTTATTAAAATAATTATAACATTGTGACGGCAAAAACCAAATCTATACTTATAATAAATCTGTAGAGAGGTCAATTCTGTAGATGAAATATATTTCCAAAATAACTATCAGCGGGTGATTAGTGATCGATACTGATGCCAAAAATGCAATCATTAAAATTTTTGTCTGTCTGTCTGTATTTTCGTTATAGAAACAAAAACTACTCGACGGATTTTAACAAAACTTGGCACAATTATTCTTCATACTCCCGGGCAGGTTATAGTATACTTTTCATCACGCTACGATCAATAGGAGCAGAGCAGTGAAGGGAAATGTTGGGAAAACGGGAGAGGTTACTCCATTTTCGAGCTTCCGTCGCGTGTGCAGCCTTAATAACCACTTTTTGAAATGTTAAAATTTCGACCCGTGCGACGCCGAAACGGGCCGCTAGTCAATGTTATAAACCTAGTGTGCTAACATACAAATTATAATAAAGGTATTTAACCCGAATCCAGATGTCTGAGTTGCTTCTAATATCTTTGGCAGTCTACTACTAAAAATATCAATGACGTTTATAATATTATTTAATATATTTTTTTTTATTTTACTTTAATTTTTACAATTTTTAATTACTTTTTCTTGTTATTTGTAAATAAATATTGTAAAAATATATTTTAATATATTAAGTACCGGTTTAATTTACGTGTAATTAGATCGAGAAAGCTCGATTTGTTTCGGGAGCAATTGAGACGCGCAGTCAGGCTCGCGCTCGCGTCACAGCCGCTCTTGATTAAGGATCACGACTTGATTCCGAAACTAGTCGATTTTTCTCGATCTAATTACACGTAAGTTAAACCATTACATTAAAATGTAACGCCTACAAAGTAACGGATAATATCTATCATATGGGGGGTGGGGGGAAGGGATTGTTAGTAATGGAGACTGAGAATCCCATTGCTAGCAATATACCCAACCATGTCGACCTCCTCGTGGTTCGCCCTGGAAACTATCATGGTTAATTCCTGACGAATTCATCATGATGGGCTAACTGGCCTGTTTTCATTCTCATCTATCATCCTTCACTGGTGCTTCGCCAGCGTATCCCGTTAGCGCAGGCGGGGTTACCATACCATTTTCATCCATAAAAAAAAAACTATCGTATTAATGAGGATTAAAATAATCAATTGCATAGCATTTAAAATGCATTTAAATAGCCATTTACAATCGTTAAATGCGGTCGCAGTGACTGCTACCGGTTTCTTAAAGTACCTAAAACGATTTGTTCCGACTTTTTATCGGCGTTGAGTCATTCAAGCGGTCACACGAGTCACCTTGTATGATGTATGACACGGTGACTAACTCGCCGCAAACCAACGGAACTGTTGTCTCAATCCACTTGGTTTAATGTACTATTGAATGATGAGTCTTCGAAAATTGTATGTTGTATGTATTTCTAAGAGGAACCGCGTGGAGGTCGACCTGAGGGGGTCTATTGCTAGCAATGGGTCTATTTAACCTCATTATTAAAAAAACCCTATTCCTCGACCGCTAAAGATAGGCTAGGTTTTTAAAGTTTTTTTAAGGTTGTACTTGACCGCTATGGTTTGTTGCAGGCGTCCAGGCTACAGTGATCGTTTACCATCAGTCGGGCTGTATGCTTGTTTGCCGTTGTGCTACAAAAAAAAGTACAAAATACTGTCTCACCTGTATATTCCATTTTCGAACTGTTCACTCTTGACGTATTCGATGAATTGAGCTAAATCTGCCAAAGCTTGGTCCACATTCAAGTAACGAAGTTCCGAAACTGTAGTGTTTCTAAAAAAAAAAAAATTTTTATATAACTTAGAATGACCGATAAGCTGAGCTGAGCCCATTTGGTGGCAAAGGGAACCTTTGTTGATATTCAATCAAAAACAAAATCATGGACAATACAATAAATATACTGTGATGCCCACGTACTTTTTTATTAGGCGTTTTTTTTAGAATCGTTGGTATTTTTTTTTAATTTCGTAATAGGCGTGCGCATTGCTATTCATAAGAATTATAAATTAAAAATGGCCATGCGGTCCCGGCATAGAATAGGCCACCCCTTCCTGTCCCGTGGGTGTCGTAAGAGCCAACTAAGGGAAAGTGAGGGATTGGCAGCAGCGTTCCTCTTAAAACATCTCTAAAGCCTGACTGCGGTTGCCAAGCCGCCTGCCAAGCGTGGAAACTACTGGCAAAACCCCCCAAGGGGAAGGCTTATGTACAGCGGTGAGCAAGTAAAGGCTAATATGATGACGAGAATGATTTATTAAAAAAAAAATCAAATGTATTCCAAATTAAGTTCTGAACGTCTACGGATTAAAATATATCTATACTTATAATAAATCTGTAGAGAGGTCAATTCTGTACATGAAATATATTTCCAAAATAACTATCAGCGGGCGATTAGTGATCGATACTGATGCCAAAAATGCAATCAGTAAAATTTCTGTCTGTCTGTCTGTATGTTCGTTATAGAAACAAAAACTACTCGACGGATTTTAACGAAACTTGGTACAATTATTCTTCATACTCCTGGACAGGTTATAGTATATAAAAAACGATTATTCTCAGAATTCACTGTATATATACAGTTGTATGTTTGTCTGTCTGTATACTGTATCCTGTATTTCGACGTGATACGAATACAAACAAACGTACAGACAACAATGTGTTATTAAAATTTCAAATTCTCTTTCAAAACAAAACTTAATTCACCTTTGTTTTATGCAACTTAGAATGGTAAACAAACTAACGGCCCATCTGATGGAAAATAGTAACCGTCACCTGTAGACATGAGCAGTACCATGGACATAACAGAGTATACTGTTTCGCCCATGATACCCCCCATACGTTGCCATTCCTGAGGACTCAGGTGTTATTCCTATGTACCCTGTAAATTCACTGATCCCTTTATTTATTTTGAGATAGGTGGAAAACATCCAATTGGTAATCAAATATGCTGGTTCTTGTTGTTATATATTATTATTTATTAATTGTAAGTAAAAATGCCGTTATATATATTTATTTTTAAATTTTCTATTGTATAAAAAACTACAATGTATGTGAAAATGTTCATTTTGAACGCCACTGTTATCCCCCAGGGGGAGAAAGTTAGTAGGGACAAGTGGAACTGTCCCGTCAATCGTGAAGAAGTACATAGATTAACTTCGATTTATTTTGTTAAATCTAATCTGTGATTCTTTATTCAAATTTAAGATTTGAAATTAGAACACGCAATAATGTTTTACAAAAAACAGTTTTTTGATTTGCGAAGAAACACCGACAAAGCCATAGATGTAGTGTAACGTACTCACGTACTAACAGACTGCCAATGCAATCACAAATACGTGACAAGAAAATGGTTACACTAGTGTGCGTGTAATGCATGCATGCACACACACACACACACACACACACACGCATGCACGCACGCACGCACGCACGCACGCACGCACGCACGCAAGCACGCCTAAACGTACGCACGCACGCACGCACGCACGCACGCACGCACGCAAGCACGCACGCACGTACGCACGCACACACACACACACTAGTGTGCAATGTGTGAATTTATATGGAAATAATGTTGCATTATTGCATCTTCACGTATTTGTTATAATTTTTATTATATACTAGCTGTTGCTTGCGACTTCGTCCGCGTTTCCGTCGTTTTTCGTAAAATAAGTAGCCTATGTCCTTCCTTACGGTTCAGTGGTTTTGATGTAACAGACACATTTCCGTTCACTGCTCTGCTCCTATTGATCGTAGCGTGATGAAAAGCATACTATAACCTGCCCAGGAGTATGAAAAATAATTGTACCAAGTTTCGTTAAAATCCGTCGAGTAGTTTTTGTTTCTATAACGAACATACAGACAGACAGACAAAAATTTTACTGATCGCATTTTTGGCATCAGTATCGATCACTAATCACCCGCTGATAGTTATTTTGGAAATATATTTCATGTACAGAATTGACCTCTCTACAGATTTATTATAAGTATAGATTACAATTTTCTATAAGTGCTCAGTTTAAAAGCACAAAGCAAAATTTACCAAAAATCTATCCAACAGTTTCCATTCACAGACAAAAAATCTTTATAATTTAATACGATGTACAGATTAAAATATGAGTACAGTACAGAGTTGAATTAACTGGTATCCCGTGTCACAAAGCAGGGTTAATTGATCATTGCCCTACTGGTAGAAGGGTCAAAAAGATGGCTTATTGCTGACGGCTCATCTATATAAATAACTAGTTATAACTCGCGGTTCTCTTCACGTGAATCAGTATATAGAATCCTATATTCTAAATTAGGATATAACTTAACCTTGTACCAAATTTCATTAAAATCCGTTCACTAGTTTTTGCGTGAGAGAGTAACAAACATTCACCCATTCATCGTTACAAACATTCAGGTTCATGAGTATAAAAGTACTAGCTAACTCTCCAACTCACTCTACTATTCTTACTGTTCTTCTCTAACTTCTCTACTCTTACTAACTCGCGACTGTGTCCGTGTAACCATGAGGGCCTACCATGAAATGTTTTCCGAAATTTCGGAGTCGAACGAAACACAAATTTGACGTTAAAATTGCATAATACATACCGTTTAATAATATTGAAAAAGTTAAAATATCCTTCCTTTGATCTTTTATAGTAGGAATTATGACGAACGAAATGTTAAGCTCGACTTGGGTAGGCGAAGAAGGCAGGGCCAAGAAGGAGATCCTACTTCACCGCATGGGCCAAGGGCGACAGTTGCGAGGACAGCTGTCACCCCATCACCAACACGGCCCGGAGGAGGCACGCGCGTGCTCCCACGCGCCCCTTAGTGAGGAAAAACCTACAGGTCACCTAGTGAAGGGTCTTGTATGGCGGACCAATGCGTTCGCGACGGGACGATTGCCCGCGCACACCCGTCTTGAAGAAAGCGCTGAGAAGGAGCACCGGGGAGTTTTAGCCGGTAAGAGTCCGGCAGTACCCACATATCTCGCACACATATATCATTTTTCACCAGAGGGAGACTTTGTACAAAAGTCGATTGCTTGGGTACCTCTGTCCCATTCGTATTTCAACCGTGAAGCAGTTGTGTTTGCATGGCTGTGTTTCGGTTTGAAGGGTGAGATATGGTGTGAATTTACTGGATACAGAGGAATAACACCTGAGTCTTTAGGAATGGCAACGCATGGGGGGTATCATGGACGAAACAGTATATTATGTTATGTCCATGGTACTGCTCATGTCTATAGGCGACGGTTACCATTTTCCATCAGGTGGGCCGTCAGCTTGTTTGCTATTCTAAGTTCTTTAAAAAAAATCTCCCCCAAGGTATGCGGGTCTGCATGAGCATTTCCCCTCGACAAAAAAAAGGTCGATTTGGGTATGAACAAAGATACGAAATTGAATCCGACAATTCGGAATTTCATTACATGGTAGACCCCCCAGGCTATGTTTACTAATCGTGATAAAAAATAACCTATATCTTTCTCCATCTCATATAGTAAGTGTATACTAAATTTGATAGTGTTTTGTTAAGCCGTTAAGGCGTTATAAGGTAAGAAACAAACTCACTTTCACATTTCAATTTCTATTGGGTTTTTCATTTCGACATTAAATATTGGATAACAGATATTTAATATATTAGTTATTGGGCCAATATATAGATATTGTTTTTTTTTTTATTTATTTTTTACAACGCAGGGGGCAAACGAGCAAGCAGCTCACCTGATGGTAAGTGACTACCGCCGCCCACGATCACCCACAACACCAGCGGCATTGCAGGTGTGCTGCCGGCCTTTTAAAAAGGCATATACTCTTTTCTTGAAGGTTATGTTGTCGTATCGGTTCGGAAATACTGCTGCTGGAAGTTGATTCCAAAGAATTTGTAACTACTGGACGAGTGGCGGTCTTCCAACGTGCGTTTTTCAAGGCACTTTCTTCCACGCACAACCATTCTTTGGAATCAACTTCCATATATATTTATTATTGAGGGTATATCTGTTGAGTATGCGTATAAATATTATGACGTCTACTTGTTTGATTTGACTATTATTAGAATTTAATTTAAGAACACTATTGGTTTTTTTTTTAAATAAATTACTTCACATTTCAAACCGAAACAGCCGTGCAAGCATAACTGCTTAGCATCTGATACATAAATGGGACAAAAGTACCCAAACAGATGAATTTTATATTACATCTCCATCATCATCTCATCTGGTAACTCAGGATAGACATTCAATATTTTTTACAGCATCGAATATTTTTTATCTATATGTATGCGGTCAAATCCATGGGTCGCGGCTTGTATTATACGGTACCAATTTTAAATAAAAATTGACTCAATATCAATATATAATAAAGTTGGTAATTTTTATTATGCAACTTAGAATGGCAGACGCTGACGGCCCGCTTGATGGAAACCGTCGCCTATAGACATGAGCAGTACCGTGGACGTAACAGAGGATACTGTTTCGCCCATGATATCCCCAATGCGTTGCCATCCCTGAGGACTCTGGTGTTATTCCTCTGTACCTTGTAAATTCACTGCCATATCCCACCCTTCAAACCGAAACACAGCCATGCAAACACAACTGCTTCTCGATAGAAACACGAATGGGACTAAGATGTCCAAGCAAACGATTTTTGTACAAACTCTCCCTCTGGTAAAGTTGGTAAATAACAATGTTGTTAAATTAATCGATGTCTTTTTTTTTCAAGATCAAAAGAATATATATAACAAACCTTAAACGATTTGTTTTTTTTCTAAAAACAATATAAAATCTG